ATATCATGTTAATTAATTTCAAGAAATAAACAATTTTATTTAATATAATTAAATTATCTAAGATAATATGATTTTACTATGTTTAATAAAAAAAAAATAATATTTTCACAATATTAATTATTAAATACATTATAAAAACTACTATAAAATATAGTACACAAATATTAACTTATAAAAATTATAACTTATGATCTTAAAATCATATTACGAGAATTACAACGAGAATTAATTTCTTTGTTTAATTTAATTTAAGTTTTTTGTTTAATTTACGATAATTATAAATATATGAATAATAAAATAAATGATAGCACAAAGATTATATAATTGTCTTTCATATTTCGCAAAAAAGAAATAAATTTACAGAAGAAGCCACACAGCTTATTGTACTCATATTAATAAATATCTGCATAAAATAATACGTATTCAAACATGCTATTTAATCAAGAGATAAATGAACACGTGTATCATTAGCTGCTAATTTAACAAGTGTTTTTTTTACTCTAAGAACAGGTAGACGTGCTGCAGGTTTCCCATGCCAACATTCTTTCATTAGTTTTCCCAAACCAGCCAATGTCTGTAAAATATATATTATTATTTATAATATATATATAAATATAATATAAATAATAATATATTATATATATTATTATTATATTTTTATATAAACAATATTTATTACATGTAATCTCTATTAGAAGATGCTAAAACAGAAGATAATACTAAAATACAAAAATAAACTATTTATTAATATAATAGTATGTTCTGATGAAAATAAAATAAGTTTCAAATAAAAATAAAAGAATCAAGGAGTAACTAAAAAATTCCTGTAAAATTTATTTTTCAAATTACAAACAATAAAATTTGCAATAGATAAAAGGATTTGTCATATCTTACTCTATTTTTATCTCACTAATGTAATTTTAAATTGCTTATGACTCAAAAAATAAGCTTCAATAAATATTTTTACATATTAACTTTTATATTTATTTTAATTTCACTTTTTTAATAATTTTCGATCTATTTCCTTCAAATATTCTGCATATAAATATTAATAAAAATAGCAATATTAGAAAAAATAATAAGCACTTTATAACAATTTTCATTATAAACTATAAATATTTAAATAAAATTTTTCCTTGAAATTTAAATAATTAATAAAGTAAATATTTACTGGATCAGAATGCCATCTATTAGGAAGAGGTGGTCTATGTTGATCCAAACATACTAATTTTTTCATTTCTTCAATAGATGGTTCTTGGTTATTAGAAAGCCATTCAGAATATGGTGCTACATATTCTAATGCAACACCATTACTTATACACCTTCTACAAACTTCCCATAATATTAGTCCTAAACTATATATATCTGCACGTCGAAAATTCTCCAGACACTCAATATTTATCCTAAAAACATTTAAAATAAAATTTTATCTTTCAACTTAAATATTTATTATTTAAATTGTAAATATAAATTAAAATTATTAAATATTAAATATATATTGATTAAATATATATTGTATTAAATATATATTGATATTTATATTTTTCATTTTTTTCTTTTATATCAAATAAGAAATTTTTTTTATTTTAATTATTATTATTATGTATAATCAACAAATTATATTAATAAGTAAATATCTAGTTTTATAGTTTGATAATTGTTACTAATATTTAAATGGTTTGAAGTTATTTAATTTTATTTATTTTTAATACTCGAATAAATCTAAAATATAATATCCTAATAAATATCTTAAATAATGTTAAACAATATTACTAGCTTATAATCAATTATAAAAATATTCATTCTGTTTATTTATTATATTACATTAGATAATTTATTTTATTCAAAATTTTTGATATTCTTAAAAATTTATATGTATATATATAACATGATAAATTTATACATGAAGCAATTTTCTTTTATTGATAAAAAATTTTTTTGAAAAAATAAAATCAATTCCTGAAAGTTTCAGCATTTTTCAATTTTGAATATAATTTTATATAGAGGTATTTTTTATAAAAGTAATAAAATATTAAAAATGAAATATTTTATAATTTAAAATTTTATTTTGTAATTTAAAATTTTCACTATTATAAAATTATATTTAAAAAAAAAAAAAAAATATTGAAATTTTGAGCACTGATTTTACTTTCTTAAAGTAATATTCCACTAAAAAAAAATATAATCAATTATGTTTTATATACTAAAAAATTTCATTAAGAATTAAAAAAAAATTTAATTTTTTAAATTACATTTTTTAAATTAATGATTAAAGTTAACTGAGATTTAGTAATTTGAATTGTAAAAAATTTAAAAAATGTGTATTTTAAGAATAAAAGTATATTTTCTGATTTTTTCAATATATATCATATAATATATATCATATAATATTATTATATCATAATCACTAATATTTATTTAAAACATTTTTCTTTGTTTTGCATAATTTTGCATAATTTTCATAATTCATAATAACTTGTTGTATAAAACAAATATTTTATACAAAAGTTATTTTAAATAGTTAATATATAATAGATATAATATAAAATATAATAATAATATAATAATAAAATATAATAGATATAATATATAATAGATATATTAAAGTTATTT